TGGTGGTGGTGGTGGTGGGGGTTACGGTGCGCAACGGTGTGTCTTCTGAATAAATGAAAATGATTTAACACAGTTGTTTATACTTTTAGCAGCTCTTTTTATTCCACAGCTGACCTGCTAAAATGACAGATTTATTTTCTGGATCTCTGACAGACGGACTTCAATCTCTGAACTCGTAAAGTTCTTCTTTTTAATTTTCGCTGTCATTTTTCATGAATGGACAATTCCTGATATCTGAGGCAGGAAACATAACCTTATATGGTGTTTTTGGGGTGGTAATTATGCTAATCTCTCGCGTGCACGAGCAGCTGGATACGAACAGGTGGAATTCATTTACTTTTCCTGAAGATAGAAGAGTTTGTTGAATCTGACGTGGCATGTTCGTACGAACCCTTTGTACGAACAAAAGTAAGAGAAATTTAGGATAAGAATACGAACATGTTCTTGCATGAGGCCCATTGTTCATAATGACTCAAACTATTGGTTTTAAACAGGATTCACTTCAAATGTCTCTGCACCTTTTCAGTCAATCACACATGAGATGTATCATGGTAACTGGTGGCACAAAACACAGAGACAAGACACATCAACCAAAAAACATGATGAAGGTGAAAACCTTTCTACTTGCAAGGCAGCAGGAAATAGGTAGAAACAGGTACAGAACAAGAGAAAAGAAGGTGTAATAAAGATCCATCAGAGACAGTGAGGAGGGGACAAAGGCTACCGGCGCGTCAGGCCCCCAGCATCTTCTTGACAAGGTAGCCGGGGATTGAGTAGAGGAAGAGGCCCAGCATGAGCAGCAGCAGTACCAGGCCCAGAGCCTTGAGGATCAGCCAACGGTAGTTAYGCCAGATGAAGTAACCAATGGACTTCAGAGGGCCCAGAAACCACATAAGACTGGTGTCCGGACGACTTTGCAGAAGAAAGCAGAAAGAGAGGGAGGACAGAGGAGTGCAGAGGAGGCAGATAGAGGGGGGGAGGTTGAGTCACATGCACAAAAAAAGGGAAGGTATGAGGGGAGGGAAGAGACAGGGACACAGTTGAAGAGATGGTGGGAGGAGTAAGTGTAACAGTGGCCACTTGACGGTGCAAAAAACAGCACTGAGCTTTATAAAATCCTGCAGACGTTCAAATAAATGTGCGACACGCTGCTTTTTGCACAGCAAGAATGAATTTTCAAACAAAGGAAATGAAAATTTCGTTCAGATTTTAGCTCCACAAAGGCATTTGCATTTTCTAACTGAAACCAACGCGGGTTTAAAGTCTCACGGAGGGTTACGCGTGTGAGTATCTTACTTTGGTTTCTCCAGTGGGTCCGGCTCGTTTCGTCCCAGYCCCACAGGACTTTTCTCTGCTTCCTCTCCCGTCACCAGGTGGAGCTCAGCCTCAACCTTACCCTGCCATCACAATCAGGTTCTCTTTGAATATGCCATTTTTCCAAAACAAATAATGAATTAATTTATTTTGACCTCTATCGTATATTAAAAGTTGCATAGATCTTTGTAGCAGATGGATTTTCTTCCAAAAAAAAAAAAAAAAAGCTGAATAATTCATGGAAAAGCTATTTCCTTTCTATGCAGTATTGTTTTCTGTTCTTGGTTTGTCTCCTTAATAACACTTTATAAACCCTACACCTTATTAATTCTCACTTAATCATTAATAAATGATTAGTTAACCTCGACATCATTAAGAA